CGTCTACGTGTACGAGGGCGAAATTTCACATGCACTATTTTCGCCGGTCGCTTAGCTGGAGGAGGGCAAGCGATTGTCGCCTCACCGCACAACTACCATAGGAAATGAATGGAGAGCGAGCGACGTCGCCTCCCGTGTGTCGAGCCCTTTACGCTTTTCTTTAGAAGGTGTTTTTTGAGCAGGAATTTCTTTCTTCGTCAGCACCTTCTTGGTTCACGCTGACTCAAAACTGTCGATAAAGACTGTGTTCAGCAGTCTTCTGGACTTGAGGTTCTTGGGATGTTTCTCAATTATTTTTATTGAAGGTGGTGGATAAGTGTCCAATTGGTGCTGTCATGCAAATTTTATAGTKTCAAAAATAAACTATCAGCTGCGATCGATCACAATTACTGAGGTGTGGTTCCTCCAGAAATTTGATGATGTTGGGGGGCAACTGAAAATCTTGGGGGGGCACCAAAACCCAGAACTGAATTTCAGGAAATAGGTTATATTTGGGTTATTTGACAAATACATCAATGCAAGAGTTGGTGAATCACCTTCCGTTACCCATATTTTTACAAGTACTTGTACAAAATGCCCCGATACCCAGAACCAATACCAATACCAGTATCGTATCAATACCCCATTCATTGTTACAGTTTACATTTCAGTTCAAATGTTTCAGTTCCATTATTGACGAGTACCAAAACTGAAGTACTTGTACTTGGTATCAGGACATCCCTATGATTTACGGTTTACGTAAGAAAAGCACYGTCGCTTCCCACTACTCGTTTCCTTATTTAAGGGGGCTAGATTTAAAGCTTACATTTTAACTGCAATGAATATTTATATTTTTAACTACTAATTGCTCAAAAAACAATGTCTTTGTTTTAGATTCTACTAATATTAAATATTTAGGGGAAGTTAATGCACACAAAGCAAAAGCTTGAGACTGAATGATAAAACTTTTTAACCGAGGGGGAAAATGGGGTGGCCACTTGTTTTTTTAAGGGGTGTTCATTGCCCCCACTTGCCTCCCTCTTTTGTGACGCCCCTGTAACAKTTAGCCGGGCTCTCCGGTTTTCTCCCAGGTAGACATCAAGCCCAGAGTGGGGTCATGTTGGATAATTATTCCACTCTGGAGAAAAGAACGGTTCAAATTTATTAAAATGAATGACCTTAATGCTCACAAGTTTATGCAAACATCTGACTGCAGCTGTAAAATGACTCTTTAAAGTTGTCTTTTTTAAATTTTTTTTAACTTTTTGTCTCTTTCCAAAGAAGCACAGTCGTCATCTCTTTAGATCGGTCAGGATTTAACCGTTCGAGAGGCGCTGCCAGCTGTAAATTTGCTGAAACATGAACACACTCCACTTAACAACAGCTTTCATCCAAATCTGGGACCATCTTTGCACCGTATCGCACGTTTTTATTTTCATCATCTTCACCGTGTTCATTCACCGTTAAAAACGTTCGAGCATTATTAGAATCAAAACTGGTGGGAAAAAACATGAAAGATGTAAGAAAAGGAAAAATGCTTCTTTAAAAGACAAAAAAAATCAACCCTGTTTGTCGCAGTCGGTGTTTCTGTATTTTCTTGTCTTTTTGTGCTGATGAGGATTTTCATAAATTCTGTCTTCAAATTAATTTTTTTCCTCTTCTATGTGAAAATAAATACTGAGAAGTCTGCTATGGATATGTGCTCTCTATGTCCACATTAAAAATAAATCCCGCAGGCCATAGTTTTAACATCTGCCTTTATTTTTTATTTTTTGTCGCGGTTAGGAAAGGGAAACCACCAGCATCGTAAAAAATCGGACAAACGGTTCCGACAAAGTCCGACGCGTGTAGGAAGGTAAATTCAAATCCTGTATTTATTACGTGAATCCTCTAAACTTGCTAAATTCTCAAATGTCTAATGAAAATTGTAAAAAATAAAAAGTTCAGATATTGAACGTGATCATGTTAGATGATGAGCAATAATCTGTAATAATAATGATAATAAAGAAAAATGTAAAAAGTGTTACTAGTTTGTGTGGATTTTTTGGGCAAAATTGTCAATTTTATTTATTTTATTTTATTTTTGTCATGATGCTACCAGTGTGTTTTCACTTGGAATCTGACATTTACTAAGAGAGAGTAAAAACATGCAGGAAACTGCTAATTATGTCCTGCCTACAGATGGATAAAATAGTTTATTYGTGTACAAAAAAATTAATCAAGTCCCACTGAGGGAAATAAATGTTTTATATGAGCCATTTTTTTGGTTGAAAACCTACAGATGAGGATTAGGGTCTTGGTGCAAAAAATAATTCCCAGTCTTTTGGATACAAATAAGAATTCTCTTTTTTTCCCCTCCTAATTCTGACTTTAAACACAGAATTCTGGGAGGGAAGAAAAGGTAGAATTCTGACTTTTTTTTTTCTGTCAGCTGCGGACATGAAAGCGCCTGCTGAAGGAAAGGAGAGAGGAAAAAGTAACTTATTTCTAGCGGCAGAAC